TGCGATCCCAAGGAATCTGGGCGGTCCAGTTAAGGAGAATATCATACGGAAACCAACATTAAGTGAAAACCGGTGAAACCCACGAGAAGTAAATGTTTTGATGTTTCAAAAAAACTAGAAAAAAATTCAGGAAGTTAAGAGGATGATGTTTTATTGCCACACAAAATTTCAAGTTGAAACACATTACGAGATGTGAGATATGAAAAAGACAAAATCAGCATAGAATAGTCCCGAACAGTAATGTCACTATTCAAGGCTGAATTTGTCTTTTTCGTAGCTCATATCTTGTAGTGTGTTTCAACTTGAAATTTTGCGTGGCAATAAGACATCACCCTCTTAACATCCCCTATTTTTTTCAGAACTTCAAAATATGGTTTTCATGAAGTTTTTATTGAATATTGGTTTCCGTATGATATTCTCCCAGTTAAAAGGGAGCTAACGAGCTCTGGAGCCAAAACTGGTTATTCCTTGTGCAAACTCACGAAGACACATGCGTCCTTTTTTACAAGCAAAGAATTGTCACAGCACAATGTCATTTCTCATCATTTACCGAGACACGAACAAATTTCTGCTTCCTTGCCAAAACAGATTGTCATCATCCCACCACTACCAAGGACAAGAAGATATAACGGTTTGCCACATAACAAAGCTGAAGAAGAATTTACTAGAATCAGCGAGGCGTAGCTTTCTTATTCAGGAACAATTAATAGTTTCTTCACTAATCGCTTGTGCAAAGTGGTTTGCACGGGCATGGTATGTTCGGAATATAAAATATAGTTTCCTTCGGAAGGAGCAAAATATACAGTAAACCTACAAAATAGTGCAAAGAAGGGCAGCAAAATGAAGTGCAGAAGGACACATCTTTCTCCTTATCCATGTATTGCTGATAGCCGTACAAATATTGAGCATGACGGTCCCCATAATTGATAACAAGGGAGATGAAATATTCCAACCGGAAGCTCCATTCTGCAGCTTATGCAGCTTGCCTTAATTTTTGTGTCTTCATCTTCAGCCGGTCCATGAACTGAGAGTTAGCCTGGAGCCTCCCCTTAACATAAGCATCTCTAGCAGCATTGGCCAACACATCGGCTTTCATCGCATCTTCCACTAGAGCATACAGTGTTCTCAAGCAATCTTTTCTGTTCTCTTCTCGATGATCAAACCTGCAGCAGTAATTCAACTATTATCTACAAGTAGCCCCAAGTGATGTTTGTAGGAATACCATCCTGAAATCTGCAAGTATAATAAGCCAAAGAACGAATATAGCATATAGATTTAAAAATAGGCAAATGCTACCCCTACTTGGGTTGTTCACCATAAACACATCCAACCAATCATTGAAATGCTGAAATTTTCTACTAGCATTCTTCGATGTTTCAATATACAGTTTATGTTTGCCAAACCACAAACTTTAAGCATACCTAACAAGCACCTTGAATAATAAGCAGACGAAGGCTGAAACTTGCCAGCAAACTTCACTGCCAAGTGCAGAGACAAAAGTACAATACAGATCAAACTTAACTGACTTGCATATTAGATACTAGAGCGCTTAATATGGTAACCAGAAAATATAGCATTTCAGAACAGATCAGAGTTTTCGTTTGGCAAACTAACAGAATATGTACTTGTTTAATCATGCTTTTTTTCATCTCATAATTAACAGTTGCAACCTTCATCTAACGGGTGTTCCATTTTACTATCTGGATACATAATCTGCCCTGAATTTGAAGCAAGGACTACAGTCAAAGTACTTATATTAAGACGCAAGGACTACAGTCAAAGTGCGTCTACAGAGAGTACAGTTCTGCAAACAGCAAAAAAGAATCTCAGCAATATTAGTGTTACATGCAACAAACTGAGTGATACTAGTATGGACGATGGAAGCAGGAACATTTGGCATACCTTTCACTGATTATTGTGAGCTCATCTTTTCCTGAATTATACCTCTTTCCAACAACCTCACGTAATCGACGGAAAGCATGCCGTGAAAGTCCCAGTTCCTTGACAGTTACACTGAGTTTAACTTTCCTATTTTTGGGATGCCATGCATCACCACCAGGGGCAAAGACAATGCGTGACTCCCACCTTAGAACAGGTCCCTCACCAGGTGGATCATTCAACTCGACGCTCTTATTATCTGCCCCAGAAAATTCATTTACAGTCAGCGGTTCTGCTTCCATCAGTTCTGTGCACTCTGAGACCATCTTATCCTCAAATTCTTTAAATAGCTCATAAGCCTGCTCAGGTTCAAGCTCCCCCCTCTCACACATGTCCCCCAACTCGTTAAATTTGGCCTCCACCTTTTGCTTTATCTCATCTGGATGTAATACAACAGGATATACAAAATGAGTCAAAATACATCAACCACAGGAAAAAATACAGGGAATATCAAAAGAACCCCGACAGTCTATATGGATATAACACCCTCCTAAGGTATGCATGAAAAAAAGATTTTCATATCTAAGTAATAACATGCGCAAGTCAATAGCTAGGTTGTTTGCAAATACACACCCAATAGAAAGCAAACCAGATAGCATGTAAAAAGGGCCACAATGAGGTAAAGATGTACATTCGGTTGACATGATCAGTATCTAAACCCAAATGAATACCAACTCCATAATAATAAGTTCAGCGTATTAACATATCATTCATAATCACTGCATGTGCAACTTATTAGCTAACAGCAGTATTTTTCTTCAGTACTAACTACTAAACTGGTGAATAAAGGTCCATTCAAAAAAAAAAACTTCTATTGGTGGGTACTTGTACATCCATGCCAACAATTTCTCCAAAGACAAGCATGTTGTGCATCCACTTACAATGCATGTTCAGCGACGCATAAAGACTAACAACCCTCCCAATATGGTGCCCAAGATGTCCAGGAAACTCACAAAGATTTCATATATATAATTTTATGCAGTAAACAATCACATAAAACTAGATAGCAAGCGGGAAAATCATAAGGGTATCAGTAAAATGAATACATAGGCGATAAGGACATGGTACTGGCTGAATTTTGTTCACGGTAATGCTTGCTAGGGTAAGGGCCAGGAATGCTGGACAAACAGAAGGCTCTCATTATGCAAGATACAAATGTGCGCCTAAGCGATGGAAACAAAGTAATGAACTAAATTGAAGAAGTGAACTAATTATGGAAATCTGACTCATGGAATCCAATTATCTTGTATTGCTACTGGAGATGGAGAGATGTTGCTTCACTATTGCAGGGGGCTTGTGCCAATAGAGATATGGCCTCAAACAGATGAAACATAATATGACAGTGCTATAGACTTCTAAATCTGAATCAAGAGTCGATGCAGAAGTCCTGTATCTACGATACTTCAAATATACTAATGACAGCCATAAGAGGTACTTGCAATAAAGACTGGCGTGTATAACAAATCGTCCACATACAAGATAATAGAGACTGAAAAAGCTCACAAGAACTGATCAGTTAAGTGAGAAGGACAAAGGAGAGACAAGGAATATTCCCTGCTGCATATGTAAGGTGGAAATATGATAGGTCCGTCTAGCTGGTTGACCATAACATATCTTTGAAGAGGTGAGAGGAAAATAGACAGAACATGCCTAAAACAAATCTGTCCAAATCTTCTTTGATGGCAATACAAGACCATAAAGCGATGCATCACCCAACAAAGACAAAAGGAAGCATGGTCACACTAACTTCATTTGGGTTCGTATTCTTCTAGAGGTTTACAATACTAACAGTCACATACATACTGAATGAAAAATTCTACGGCTATTACTTGGTCCTTCGTGGCATAAGCAGTTTAAGTTACATATGAACCAAAATGAAAACAACTCAAACCCTATTAAATTTTATTTTAAGACATACAAACAATAATCACTTCGCTGAGTTTTTTGAAATTTCACCACAACTGGCAAACCTGAAATACCATGCCAAATAAATCTATCTATCATGGAACTAACTAATATGGCAAACAAAATTCTATTTCTCACCATTTTATTGAAAATATAATCTGCCTCATCCAATCTTTAGCCCCAGTTCGACCTAGGCACTACATTCAACCCAAGCAAAGTAAAAATTGAATTTGCGAAAGGTACTTCCATTATAGCAATTACAGAAAGAGGGAGATATAGATTCCACTAACCGGGTAGTAGCTTGTCCCAGTGGAGCATGTCCTCGAGGATATCCTCGCACTCCTTCATGTTACTCAGCTGGCCTTCCTCTGTTGCCTTTTCTGTTGCTTTCTTGACCACCTCATCCCACTTGGTATCATTCATGTTAAAATACTCATTGGCCTTCATCTTTTTCTCAACATACTGCCTCGCGTTGTACAGGTCAGTAAGCTCCTCATCAGTTTCATACAACTCCTCAAAGTCAGCCTCAATGTCCCGATCATGGACCTGAGGAAGTGGCCTGTCGCGCAGCTCCTCGATAAGTTCATCATCAGTATCACTGTGTGCATCTGCAAGATTCCGCTCGAGAACAGCCATAGCGACAGGCGATAGCTCCGACTCATCCTCCACCTTATAGTAAGCTTCCAACCTCCGCTTCAACTCTGCAATCAGAGGAATCATCAAGAGCAGATGCAGAAGAACGATTCAATATGGTACACATGCCGTGGCACCGGAAGAGCACACATTTTTCCCGCTTGAGTGCGAAGTGTTTCTGGGCGCGGCATTTGGTCGAACAGATGAAAACCTAGCAACAGTATCCTTCCGCATGTTGCTATTAGGCTCGGAAGTGAGGGATGCGGGCGGCAGCAGCATTACTATAGGTGGTGCATTTAGTCGAGCAGGAGGTGTGGGCGCGATCTCTCCGAGAAGATGGTGATGTTCGACTGTGGACAGGCAAAAATGCACGTCCTTCGACTCTGTGGCAGAGCATTTGGCCGAGCAGCTAGTGTTCGTGCGTCCGTTGGGTCGAGAGAGCGAAAATGTTTGAGGAGAAATACCTTCGTTTGGGACGTCGATGGCGGACGGCGGAGGGGGAGGCGGTGGCGTGGCGGCCGAGGGAGCAGGAGGGGGGGGCGACGGCGCGGCGGCCGGGGGAGAGGCGTCGTCGGAGAGGAGGCGACGGGAGACAAGGAAAGGGAGGTTGTTCTTGGTTGTGGGGATACGAGAGAGGGGTGGGGATGGGCGGAGGCGGTGGGAGTGGTGGTGGAGATGGGTGAGAAAGCGCCTCATAGCGGCGGCCGGGAGAGGGTGAGGAGGACGGTCACTGGAGCTTCGGCGCTCGCCGGAGATTTAGGTGGCGGGGGCGGAGCAATGGTGCGGCGGCGGGGGATAGAGAGGGATGGGCCGAGAGCTAGGTCACTCGCGGAGTGTCTTCCTCCTTTTTTTGACGAAAAAAAATTATCCTCTTCTTTGTGATGGGCCTTTAACAAAAATACCCTTTGGGCCGGAATGTAGACTGCTTGCTTACGCTATTCTAGTTTCCAGTGCTAAAAACAAAAACATGCTAAAAAAGTTCTAAAAACAAAAAGGTTATAGTTATAGAAAAAAAGGTTATAATAGCATCTTCAATACGTGCCCTGTTTTAGGGCATCAAAATGGGCTTTGAGCAAAATACAAATTTATAACACCAAAAAGTGCTTTTTAGGGCAAAAAAGAAAAACGACACCTCCAATAGATGTTCTAAAATAGGGCACTAGTGCTTCAACAGATGCTCTAAAACAGGGCCGCCGTATCAAAATTTGTTGTCTCCAAATGCATTTATCTTTATCTTTATCTTTACCTACTAATAAAGCGGCTATCGCTTCTGGTCGTCCGTCATTAAATACCCTCCAACTTGGTTAAAATTACCCATCAATGCCACCCATAAGTGAAAAACGATTCGATTTTTTGGACTAAAAATCGACGCCTCCTTCGTTGTTTTATAGGGGCGCGACGACCAGAGATTACAGAACAACGAGTATCAGAGTGGTTGGCCGATCGCTCTTTTAGCGGGGAGACCAGGGTTTGATCCCCAACTTCCACAATTTTTTATCTTTCTTTTCTCACGCTATGCATTCATGGGCCGGCCCATGTGTGGGGCTTCACTCCCCTGTTTATTTTCATTTTACATTTTTGTCTTTTCTTTTCTCATTCTGTTTTCTTTCTTATTTAAATTAATTCCAGATTTTAATATTCTAAAAGTTGCGAGTTTGATAAAAAAATCATAAGATATATGTGAATTCAAAAATGTTTAGAAAATCATAAAAAGTTTGCAGTTCAAAAAATGTTGGTGGTTTTGCAAAACTGTTCGCAAAATTATAAAAAAATCACAAATTGTAAAAAATGGTCAGGAAATAAAATCAAGTTCATGATTTTGAAAAAATGATCGTGTATTCAAAACATATTCGGGAATCTGAAAAAACAAATGTCCATGAAATTTTAGAAAATGTTCACAATAATAATAATAATAATAAATAAATGTTTTTTTAAAATTTTCCCCAATTTAAAAAAACATCGATTCAAAAAATGTTTGTTGAGTCAAAAAATGTTAATGAATACAAAACCGGTTCATACATTCAAAAAATTGTAAACAGAACTAATGTTCATGATTTTTTTCGAGAAAATAAAAAATTTCAAAAAAAATTGTCGATTCGAAAAACTGTTCACCGATTCAAAAGTATTTTATGTCTAGGATTTGATTAGTTTTTCAAAAGTCTTTATATGTCTTGGCATTGGGAGTAGTTCGTGGTCAATGAGATTTGTTTTTAAAGTTTTAAACGTTTCCTTGCGCAACATAATGACAAGTGTGGCATGCACTCGCAAACTCATAGCCTTGGGATTTACCATGTCGAGTGCATTGTGATCACGTGAAGATCGCGGCCATCATCGGCTAGGGTGAGAAAAAAATGGCAACATGGTGAACCACTATGTTAAAATAGAGTACGCTCATATATCAGGATATTGAGTCATATTTGTTTGGTTAGCCATAATTTTTTGTCTCCCGTTACAACGCACGGGCATATTTGCTAGTACATATAAACATAAAAGTATCATAGCCTACCAATTTTCACTTTCTCCATTGTCATCACATTGTCAACATTGGTCTCGTTATGAACATTGGCCTCTCATGATGATCATTGACTTCTTTCTCTTCACTGTCATGCGGTGCATCGTCGATGACGCGACCCAATCCACCAAAGTTGGCTCTCATGGCACCCATGGTGTTACCAAAACCATCTCACATGCCACCCATGCCACGCAAGTCTCCTCCCATAGCACCCATTATACTACCATAGCCACCTCCCATAACACTCGTCATGTTACCAAAGCCACCTCCCATCATGCTCATCAAACCACCCATAAATTCTCTGATGCCATCATCCATGCCGTCATGCCTCATCCCTTGTCGCCATCCAGACTGACATCTATCATGTTCCTCATGAGCACGGTATTCTTCACCAACAATTCATCGTGACAAAGCTCAACATATGTTTTGCTTTGCATCGAGACCACTTGTGTCCATGAACATATGTTTTTCTACTTTTTCTTCGGTCTTCTTGAGCTCGTCGGCCTCCGCCTTCCTATGCTCAAGCTCCAGCTTCCGCTCCTCAGACATAGTCCTCTTCTCCACGATGCCGCCTTGCGCTGCTAAACATCTCCCTCTCCTCTATTTCTTTCATTCTCAAAAGGCCTTTTTTTCTTTAGCATACTCCTTTCTCGCAATGACAATGGCTTTGAAACCTTACTTAGGATCATTGTCTTTTACTTTTGTTCCCTTTTCTTTCTTTCTTTTTACCATCGGGCCTTCTCGGTTTGGCAATGGAGTTGGGAGTGGGGCTCTTTTCCCCTCATAGCCACTTGATGCATCATCATCATCATCATCATCACAATCAACAACCGAACTCTTCCTCCTAGGAACTTTAAACAACTACTGGTTCTTCCACATCTACTCATGTTTAAGATTTTTGTAACTACGTAAGAAAGTGAATGGTCTTCCTTTCTTCTTCCTCTTGTCCCCTTTCTTCCCTCTTTGTTGAAAAAAAACTTGAGCAAGCAAGAGATACAACACAATTAAGAAACATAGTTAGCCACCTATGCATATGATACGTCTTCAACGTATCTATAATTTTTGATTGATCCATGCTATTATATTATTAATCTTGGATATTTTATATGTACTTTCAAGTAATTATATATCATTTTTGGGGACTAACCTATTAACTTAGTGCCTAGTGCTAGTTGTTGTTTTTTGTTTGTTTTTGGTTTCGCAGAATATCAGTACTAAACGAAGTCCAAATGCCACAAAACTTTTTGGAGATTTTTTCTGGACAAAAGAGACACGAGAAGCATCAGGATAAGACCAGACGATGGACCATGGGCCCACAAGCCACCAGGGCACGCCCTGGTGTGTTGTGGGGCCCACATGGCTCCGTCCTAACTCCTCCTCTATAAATTCTCTAAAATCGTGAAACCAACAAAGGAGTCCACGAAATACTTTTTCTGGCGCCGCAAGTTCCAGAACAACGAGATCCCATCTGAAGGCCTTTTCCGACACTCTGCCGGGGGCGGATTCGATTACGGAGGGGGCTCTTCCTCATCCTTGCTGCCCTCCAATGATGCGTGACTAGTTTACCACGGACCTATGGGTCCATAGTTAGTAACTAGATGGCTTCTTCTCTCTTTTTGATCTTCAATACAATGTTCTCCTCGGTGTACTTTGAGATCTATTTGATGTAATGACTTTTTGTGTTGTGTTTGTTTGGATCTGATGAATTATGAGTTTATGATTAGATCTATCCATGAATATTATTTGAGTTTTCTCTAAACTCTTTTATGCATGATTACTGTAGCTTATTTCTTCTCCGATTTATTGGTTTGGTTTGGCCAACTAGAATGATTTATCTTGCCATGGGAAGAGGTGTTACGGCATATCTCTCTCAAGGTAGTTTTGGTGATTGATGACAACATGTTTGCGGACTAATCTTGTGCTTTGAATAATTCATAGATTCTCCCCTGGCATGATACGCTTTCTTCCCCTCGGAGTGTATTTCAAGACGCTGTAGCTCTTTCGTTTCTTTCTCGGTCGACTAGTTGCGTAGAGGGCACCATACTATCAAGAGGGGGTCCGCTGGGGTATTGCATGGGTGGAATCATCACGTACACATCAGCTTCTCACCCTCCGAGCTTTTCCATTCCATTGTAGAGTTCTCTCCTCTCTTCCTTGTCCTGTCTGGGTCCAAGCGGTAGTACCACGCAACCCAGCGGTAGTACCGCTGAGGAGCCACAAGCGGCAGTACCCTCCACAGCGGTAGTACCGCCCGTGGCTCCATAGCAGTAGTACCGCTGGGGTGCCTAGCACCTCCGCCTCGTCCTCAGCATCTTTGGAGAGATTCTCTCTCTCTCTTATGCGCCCCAACGGTAGTACCGCACTGCCAGCGGTAGTACGGCCGAAAGGTCACAAGCGGCAGTACCGCTCCACAGCGGTAGTACCGCCCGTGACCCCGCTGTCGTAGTACCGCTGGGCAGTCTGGCTCCTACCGCCTCAATTCGAGAGGTCTTTTTCTCGTGTCGGGTTTTGCGGCACTAGTCGTGGTTGTAGAGGCGGTAGTACCGTTCTTGGAGCGGTAGTACCGCCCCTACCACTGCGGTAGTACCGCGGTTGGGTCCTTTCCTACTAGTCTCCTTTGCGCGGCAGTGCGGCTGGCTGGCGCGGCAGTACCGCTGTCCTGGCGGTAGTACCGCCCCCTCTCAGCGGTAGTACCGCCCTGTGCGGGGCTGGTTGGTGGGGGGCAACGGCTGGATTATTGCCCCCACTATAAAAGGGAGTCCCCTTCTTCTCTTTGACCTACCTCTTCTTCCCCCAAGCTCCATTTATTGCTCAAGCTCCATTAAATGCTCCAAGCTCCATTTTTGCCCGATCTATCTCTCTAGCCAATCAAACTTGTTGATTTGCTCGGGAGTGGTTGAGAAGGCCCCGATCTACACTTCCACCAAGGGATTTTTGATTCCCCCACTCATCCCTAGCGGATCTTGTTACTCTTGGGTGTTTGAGCCCCCTAGACGGTTGAGGTCACCGCGGAGCCATAGTCCATTGTGGTGAAGCTTCGTGGTTTTGTTGGGAGCCTCCGATTAAGTTGTGGAGATTGCCCCAACCTTGTTTGTAAAGGTTCGGTCGCCGCCTTCAAGGGCACCAATAGTGGAATCACGGCATCTCGCATTGTGTGAGGGCGTGAGGAGAATACGGTGGCCCT